GGCAGCAGCTCAGAACTATCCCTGATACCTATCAGGGAAGTTGGCTAGTAGGGGGACTTCAATAAAGTCCTGAGAGATAGAGACAAGTATGGGGGAATTGCATCTCTGCTCTTAGGGCTAATCTCTTCTGGCAATGCATAAATCAATGTAAGTTAATTGACCTTGGTTTCAAATGTAGCAAATTTACCTGGACTAATATGAGATATAGTAATAAGAGTCGGTTAATCCTGAAAAGACTAGACATGTGTCTTGCTAATGAGGATTAGATCCAAGAATTCCCTTTTAGTATAATTATCCACCATTCTAGAACTCACTCTGATCACTGCTCTATGCTAATAAATCTTGGGTTCAGGCCCATCAGCCTCTCTAAACCATTTAGATTTAAGCCCATGTGGTGCAACCACCCCTCCCCCACCAATATGGTGCAGCAAGCATATGAGGGTAACTGTAACCTACTTGAGAGAACTACCAAATTCGGAGACCAAGTTACTACTTAGAACAAGATAGTCTTTGATAACATCTTCCATAAGAAGAAACATCTTCTAGCTAGGCTAGGAGGTATCTAGAAATCCAATGCATATCCCTTCAGCCCTTACCTTCAACATCTAGAGTGTCAACTCCTAGAAGACTATTCAGTCATTCTGATAAGTAAAGAGGAATTATGGAAAATTAAATCTAGGATAAACTGGCTAATAGAGGGAGATGCTAATACAAAGTTCTTCCACACCTCCACTCTCAACGGGAGAAGAAAGAATAGGATTCTGGCCCTCCAAAATGAGGCAGGGGATTGGATAGATGACCATAAGGGAATTGAAGATGCCATATTTCAATTCTACTCATCCCTATTCACCACTGATCATCAATCTTCTACCAAGGGTAGAGATACCACCCCTTACGACTCTCACACCTTTTTCACATACGGATCAGAACATTCCTAGTGCTCCCTTGAGGAATAGTGAGATAAAGATTGCTTTATTCTCATTCAAACCTTTCAAAGCCCCTGGGCCTGATGGCCTATACCCAATGTTCTACCAAAAGTACTGGAATGTCCTTGAGGGTAAGGTAACCAACTTTTGTAAGCAGGTCTTCCACACCCTTGAAATGAACCCTGAGGTTAACACTACCCATCTGAGCCTAATCCCTAAATGTGGAAATGCAATTGTGATGAAGAACTTCATACCTATTGGCCTATGCAATACAATATACAAATTGATCACTAAAATCATTGTTAACGGAATAAAGCATACACTGCCCTCTATCATAGGCCCTAGCCAAGCCAGCTTCTTGTCTAACAGGAGGACCTGTGATAATGCCATTATTGTGCAAGAATATATTGGTCACTTTAAGAAAATAAAAGGTAGAAATACCAACATGATCCTAAAGATTGATCTGGAGAAGGCCTTTGATATGTTAGAATGGTCCTTCATCGGAGACACACTACTTTTCTTTGGTTTCCCTAGCAGCAGCACCAAGCTGATTATATCCTGCATTTCCACCAGCTCTATCTCTGTGCTTGTCAATGGGAGTAGAACTGAGTACTTTAAGCGTAGTAGGGGCATCGGACAGGGAGACCCTATGCCTCCCTACATCTTTATCATGTTTATGGACAGACTATTCAGAAGCATTGATGCAAAAGTGCAGAATAGGAATTGATTCCCTATCAAAATCAATCAAACGGGGCCAAAAATATCCCATCTCTTTTTTACATATGACCTCACTTTCTTTGCTATAGAAAATACCAATAATTGCAATACCATTATATAAAGCTCTCCAGGAGTTTAGATGTAAGTGTGGCCAAAAGGTAAATAACATCAAGTCCAAAGTTATCTTCTCCACAAACTGCCACTAAGAGGAAGTAAATAGACTAGCTAGGATATTGACCATTAAACTCAGTCTCTCTTTTGGTAAGTACCTAGGCTTTTCTATCTTTCACAAAAGACCCACCAATAGAGACTATCAGTTTATTATTGATAGTATGCAGACTAAGTTTGCAGGTTGGAAAACCCATTTTATGAATATGGCTGAGAGGACTACATTAGCTAAATCCTCTTTTGGGTGCATCCCTGGCCATGTCATATAATACATTAAGCTCCCAGCTCATATGTGCAACCAAATTGACAGAATTCGGAGAAATTTCATATGGGGTATCACTGCAGCTAAAAGAAAAATGCACCTAGTTGGGTGAAAAACTGTGACAACGCCTAAGGAGGAGGGTGGCTTGGGAATGCAGACAGCTGGAAACAGAAACATTGCCACCCACACTGGCCTGGACCAGAGGATGTACAACAATACCAATGCCTTGTGGGGCAGGGTTCTTTTTCACAAGCATTGTACTAGCAGGAACCCTTCTAGGCACATTGCCTCTAGGACTTGGCAAAATGTCAAAATGGTTGGTATGTTTGTAGTAAGGCTACTAGGTGGGTAGTACATAAAGGGGATAGAATTAACCTTTATGGTGACAGATGGATCCCTGGTATGGATACCCTTAGGAGTATTATCAGTGGTCCACTCAACAGGGGCGAGGAGAGTGTGAACGTAGGCTCATGCTACAAGTAGGGTCACTGGGACATTGGTAATATCTCTTTTGACCTCCCTCAGGAGGTAGTTACTACTATTAATTCTATCTGTGTTAATCCTAATTCTGGGAATCTGGATAGGATGGTTTGGAACCAAATTGGTAGTGGCCTCTTCTCAACCAAAAATGCCTATACCCTTATAAGAAGTCTGAATCATCATCAGGATCACAACTCTGGGAAAAAGTTCAACTGGGTTTGGGGCCAAAAACTGCCAAACAAGATAAAATAATTTCTTTGGTTAGTAACCCATTCTAGGCTCCCCACAACTCAATATCTCCACTCAAGGGGTATGAATCTTAACCATGTGTGCTTCTTCTGTAACAAAGAGGAAGAAATCACTGAACACCTGCTCTTCAGATGTGACAATGCTAACCAGTGATGGCAGAAGTTAGCTAAGCAAAGACATTCCAACCTCAGCATTCCAAATATTGTAATTAGTCAAACAAACTAGGTGCACACTCTTAACGAGGTAAAGCGCCGACCATTCAATGACATACTCAAATGGAGGCACTTAATCCTTTTCTGCCAAATAATCCCTTTCTGCCTTTGGCAAATATGGATAACCAGGAATATCAACAGTTTCAATCATAGTAAGTATCTCATCCCCTTTAGAGTGGCCATTAACAAGGCTGCGGAATTCATGCACATAGCAATAGGACGAAAAGAGCCCAGACACAGTACTATTGTCTCTATTAAATGGCAACCCCCAGGGAGGGGTTGTTACAAGCTAAACACTAATGATGTTTACCATCAAAAAGATAACACAGGGGGAATAGGAGGGGTAATTAGAAACAACAATGGGGATTGGGTAGCAGGATACATGAAAAAAATCAAGTGCACAAATACCCTTCATTATGAGCTAATAGCTTTCTTGCATGGCCTAAAAAGGGCAATATCAAACAATCTAGTACCCTTAGAGGCTATTGTGGACTCGACAGAGGTAATATAATGCATAAACAATGGTCATCTGATATATGACCCCCTGATTTGTGAATGCGGGTCTCTCCTAGCAGCGCTGGGCCATCCACCAGTAAATCACATATTCAGAGAGACAAATAGGGTGGCGGACAAGTTGGCAACAGAGACAGGGAAGCAGTTGGGAGCAGGAATCAACTTTTTGGTAGTTCATCCGGTGTTTGTCAATGAAGTAATATGGGCAGACACTTTAGGAACTATTTTTGAAAGAAACGTTAAAAGTTGTAATATTGTAAATGTAGCTTTGGACTACTCACGGTTTGGTATGATGGGCTTAACTTCTCAACAGCCCAATGAAAGAACAATCTTAACTTAGTATTATAAATATATTATCCTTTTGACCAAAAAATATTAGAGCTACTTACTTGAACTTTTCCAGCAGCAATTACTGAACCACAAACAAGGCCACCATAGACAATTCCTTCAGCATTTGCAATGGACATTTTAAGCTGAGCAACTTCGCGACGAACACCCAATGTTTCAACAGTTACATGTGAACCTTTCACATACAAGATTTCATAGATCCCCTGCAAATATATGGATGGACCAAATATTATTGTCATATGCTGCAAAAGTAGGTAATATTTGGTATAAAGGTCAAAGTTTAAATTTCGGTTGCGAGTAAGTTTTTTCCCTACATTTTCTTGCACTTAGGAAGCAAATGTCATTGTTATATTATGCAATAACAAAATGAGAGGCGAATCCAAAATTTTAAAAAGAGATGGATGTATTATTACAAAGAGATGAATCCAGAATTTATATTTGGTTGGTTCAACCTATAGGTTCTTACCATGAATTCATTACCATTTAGAAACTATAGGTTCTTGCAATTTTAATCATTTTGAACATATATACATATCTCTGTATAAAAAAATGTTGGGATCATTGAACCCCGTTGAATATATGCTACATCCTCCACTACTATTAGCTTAAATATGGACATTTAATTTAATTATATAAAATTTTGCAATAATAAAAGGAGAACAAGAATTTTAATGTGTTAGATTTGGGGATTCTGAATGAATAAATAAAATAAAAAAAGAAAGAAAACGAAAAACACTTAATTAAAACACAAGTGGTGAAACTAGACATGCCTACAACCATGAGATTTGAACTCCTAACTTCAATTGAAAGGTTCACCGAGCAATCATTGTATTATATGACTATTTGAGCTTGGGTGCACACATATATATTTAAGTAATTTTAAAGAAGTATAACATTGTTATACATAGTATAGGAAAAGGAGTACAGGTTCACGTGCACCATGCTCCTCCCTATAGATACACACCTAAACAAAACAGTGGAGATGCGACCATCAAGGTTGTGATGGGATAGATATGATTCCTTTACCCCTAATAAAGGTCTCCGATTCGGAAAAAAAAACTTATAGGGAGCTCTTCCTCTTTTAATGGTCCTTACGGAAATTGTTAGAGAAAAAAATACTAACAACTAGTTACTTGCCTCACATTTGAGGATGCCACCAATTGAATGACCAAGATCAACCTTTGAAATGGTCCCAGTGGCTGAAAAAATACACACAGATTCACCATTTATTTTACTCAATGACCAAACTTTTTCAACAAGATCCTGCAAAAAATAATAATTAATTAATTCAGTGATTATAGTTCTAAGGAATCAAAACATTAACAAATTATTGTATTGGCCATCAAATATATCTTACTTCCCCAGGCTCCACTATAACAACAGCAGGAGTGAACTCACTCCCCATTGTTAGTGCTGCTATTCCACCTTCACCAAAAAAACAAAAAAAAAAAAAAGAAGCAAAAATAAACAATATTATTATTCTTATAACCATTGAACATATAATCACATATTCTTTTAGCAATCAATTGAATGATTACTTTTCAACAAAAAAAAAAGTGAACGATCAACATTTTCTTTTATAGGTCATGTCGATTACTCTGGGAGAATATTTAGTAAAATAATTTGTTTACGCTGTACCCCATTTAATTTGTTGAAACTACTCGGACCAAAAAAAAAAAAAGGAATTGAAATAATCAGACCTATACCTCCTTATAGTTTATGACTTTATGCCTATCAACTTCTTTAATTTCCTTATGATTTTGAAATTACGTACTAATAAAATACTCATTTTTTAACAAAAAGATTTGTTTAAAATTCATCCTCAAATACTAACAGAAAGTAACCAAAATTCTCTAAAATTACTTCTTTCCAAGTAATCAAAAAACTTATTTCCTGTCTCTCACCCGATGTTTAGTACCTTCATTGCACTTCAACTAATCATGATTCACGCGTATGGGTTTTAAAGGAGGAAGTGGAATTTTCTTATTCCCCTATGACGATTATTTATGTTCTTATGGCTCAAACCCGAGACTCTAGTTAAGGATGGAGAGATCATATCCACGGCACCATAATCTTTGATGTTTAAAAAAATTAAATAGGTAGTTCGGTGCACAAAACATCTCACGTTCACATAGGGTCCGGGGAAGGGCCGCACTTCAAGGGGTGTGATATAGATAGTCAACTCTAATGCAGACATTAGTGGCTACATTTCTACGACTCGAACTCATAACTTGTATCGGACAGGATAAAAAAAATTATCACAAGATACTAGAACTTGTAAAGAGAGAAAATTCACCTTGAGAAGCTAAAACTTGTAGTAGATTAATTCTGTTACCACTACCCAAAGGCCTTCCTCTACCTCTCTTTTTCTGACCATTCACTGGTTTAGGATTTTCCTCTTCAGTCACCACCTCTGACTCCTTTCCCTTTTCATTATTATTATTATCATTGCTTATTAATCTGTCTTCAATTACAGATTCTTCCATTGGTATTTGTGTCATGGGCTTCACTTCATTTGATTCCAATGATTGAGCAGAAAAACCATTGCACTTCATGTCCTCCCTTAATAATTGTAGAGTACTTTTAGATTGTCTAGAAATACACCTGTGAAATACAAAAGCAAGAAAAAAAATTGTTGTTTATGAATAATATATACATATAAAAAGAAAGTGTATATATCTCGAGTGCTTAAAGTGGGAATCTATACAATATACAATGAATTTGAGAGAATCTATCTTGTCTAGCTCGAACTTTACATGTATGCATGTGTGAAAAAAAATTATTGTTTATAAATAATACGTATCTCGAGTGCTTAATTATTATGGGAGTCTAGACTAGACACAGTGAATTTGATAGAATCTGTCATTGCCCAGCTCGAACTTTATTGTATGCATATGTGGAAAGAAATTATTACGAATAATACCTATACAAAATAAGTATCCCGGGTATGCTTATTGTTGTAATCTAGACTAGACACAACGAATTTGACATAATCCATCTTATCTAGCTCGAGTTTTAAATGTGTGTGAGAGAAAAAAATTGTTGTTTATGAAAAATACATATACAAAAGAAGTATCACGGGTATGCTTACGGTAGTAATCTAGACTAGACACAATGAATTTGACAAAATCCATCTTATCTAGCTCGAGCTTTATAATACATATACAAAAGAAGTATCTCAAGTGGGAATCTAGATTATATTAGACACAGTAAATTTGACAAAATCCCATCTTTTCTAGCAAACTTTACATATGTATTCGTATGTGGAAAAAAATTGATGTTTATGAATAGTACACAGACACTAACTTTAAATTTTACATTTACCAATAAAGTATGTGCTTACAAAAAAACACAAATACACACACCAAAACCAACACACTTACAGCAATGAGGAATGAAGAATTTAACTGTGGAAAGAGATGTAAAGGCTAACCTTGCAAAGTTTTATGAACCGTCAAAATCTGGTGGTAAAGAGGAAAAGTTTTCTTTAAGCACAATTATAAAGGATTATTATTCATTTATTTCCAGATTACACTTTTATGGTTTTTCCTTAATTTTTTCCCTTATTGTTCCTTATTTTTAAATTGAAAGGCAATTAAGAAAAATAAAGAGAAGAAGTAGAGGATTGTTGGACTACTTTTACATGTTGTAATATAATTTAGAAATAAAAATAAATAATGGAAAAATTAATAGTTAAATATAATTACTTTTGATGATTTAATTCTGAGATTCTAAATGGAGATATTAACAAATTTGTGTCATGTCCTATTAAGCATATAAATTAAAATGAAATCTTCACTTTTAACAACCTTGAGAAAAACAAATCTTATCAGATTACTTAATAAATATAGCCATCTAGCTAAAGACCTACTCAGCATATCTAGTGAATGAATGTATATTACTATTGATATCTCATTGTTCTAAATTTGAAATATATAATACATTTCATAACTGATTATTCCAAGTTTGAAATAATTTCACTATTGGCACCTGGGATGGACCAGAGTTACCGACCAACAAATAATAATTACACCTCAGTCCCAAACAAGTTAGTCGCATGTATAATCCACATTTCTTTCTTTAATTAAGTTCAACTCATACTATCATTGTAATAAATAAAATAAAATTTGCTAAGTTGACTATCTATTTTAAGTCATTGGTCCGTAAAGCACTAATGGGTAGGAGAACTTTAGTACTCATATAAAGTACAAGCTTTGTTAACAAGGAGAACTTCAATATGGTAAAAATTTACAAGGTTTTTTAACTGAAACAAAAATTATAAAGTACATTTGACTCTCCTCTCTGCAGCTTGCAAGCTACATTGACGAAATATATTACTATACAAATTTGTTTACTCTACAAAAACTGTTTTAGAAGTCTGATCCCAAATCTTGATAATACTCGTGATGCCAGGATTTAGTTTTACAACAGTGAAGTACAAATGCACATCATCCCCAGATGCTAGTTACATTCGCGCTTCTGGAAACAGTGAAGAAAAATGAAGCTTTCTCCAAAATTAAATCAGCTGTAACCAATGGAATGATCGTTTTTCAACACTTGAGATTGAAATGATCACTTTTCAACACTTGAGATTGTCGATGCCTATAAAATAAGCCGGTGTGCCTGCAGCATGAGACATGAAAACCACCGCCCAGAATGAAGAGAAACTTTCAGCTCTTTTCCAGACACATATACCATCTATTATGGTGATCGTGAATCTACAATCTGAGGAGCCAGAGGCCCCACTCATTGGCATGATTTAGTTGTTCCGTATTGTCTATGCAAAAAGCATCTTAAGTTCCTCAATTCTTGCTGTCCGAACTTCTTGGTCCGTCAAAGCACCAGAAATCATCCGTTGCTTCCTAGCTTGTACTGCCTCCATTCTTTCCTCAACTGAACCCTGCTATCAGAAAAATATGCATGCAAGGGTCCAATGACTTTTTTAACATGATGTGCACTCAAGGTGCGATAGAGCAGCTACATGTTCAGGTAAGCGTCAAGGAACAAGCACCAGCACTTCCCAGAGAGCGATATTGTTACGTGGAAAATGATTAACAAGCCGTAACAAGGAGAAAGGAATTGAGCATACCTGCACAATGAATCGTTTGATCATTACTTGCTGAGTTTGTCCAATACGATGAACGCGCATGACCGCTTGTTCCTCAACAGCTGGATTCCACCACGGATCCTAGAGATAAGCAGGTAAAGATGAACATTGTGTATATTTGACAGCAATAGAGTCACAGAAAAGTGTCAAATAGTACATAACATGGGGCGATCAAAGTGATTCCCAAAAAAAAAAAAAAATCACCAAGTCAAAGTCACAAGAAGAGCAAATATGAGAACCAACTGATCATCAAACCACAAAAATCTCATCAACCAAGATCACAAGCTTAACCAGTTAAAAAAGTGACAACTAACAACATGCAGGGAACAAATCAAAATTTGCATTAGATAAGTCCCCACAAGCCTATAAAAAAGAACTTGAAGCCAAGCTTCGACCACGTACACCACTGCTACTTATGAGCAAATAAATTTTAGATATTCCCATCAAGATAGATTCTGTTATCACTGAAACAAAAAGGAAAGAAGAAGAATTTTTCGAAAGGTCATAGCTTAAGTAGATAAGCTTTATCAAAGACTGCAATTTAGAAAAGAAATGACCACAACTATCATCATAACACTAACACATCTCATAAGACACATCTTGCACACCATACTTATCAAAAGAAGCATCTTGCACACCATCTGCAACAATTGTTGGGAAATTTTACCTCCCAGAACACTTCCATCAAATTAGGTTTTTAACTTTTACCAGATTAATGTATAGTGAGGAGGAAGAAAGAACCAAAAAAAGAAAGAAAAGGAAGAAGGTCAAATGATTTACTTCAATATTAGTATAATTATATAAACATTTCTCTCGCTCTATGCAACACTTAGATCAAATTATTAATGCGACCGTGTGTAACAAAAAGAAAATAGTGTCTTCTTCTAAGAGCAAACCCACTTTTGACAACACAAACAATTAAATTCAGAGAGTTCAATAGTCTGTGATCATCTAAATTTTTTCCAAAGGCAGACAAGTACCATGACAAAAGCATTGGATGCAGCCGTCAGGTTTATCCCAACACCACCAGCCTTCAAAGACATTAGCAACACCTGTATAATATTCAATTTGATTAAGGAAACATAATTAATTTAAAAATAAATGTACAAGACAAAGAGGCAGCAGCCACGACAAACCAATATGCCATCCTCTTCTGAGAACTTCTTTATTACTTTCTCACGTTGTTGCTGGTTTAACGTCCCATCAAGCCGAACAAATGGAATATTACTACTGCATAAGTATGGACGTCAATAACTATATTAACTCAAAAATAAAGTACACAAAATATGGACAAGGCAATTGCAAAAGGCAATTGACAAAATCAATGACCTCAAATGTTTAACAGGACTCAACTAACAGGAGGAAAAGAATTATCGTCCAGATAGAGACAAGGGTCAATCCATTTCCACAAACCAGAAATCTTTCTCAGTTTCCTTATCCTTATGAGCATGACACCAAGACTACAACAACAACCCAGTATAATCCCACTAGTGGGGTCTGGGGAGGGTAGTGTGTACGCAGACCTTACCCCTACCCTGGGGTAGAGAGGCTGTTTCCGATAGACCCCCGGCTCCCTCCCTCCAAGAACTCCCCACCTTGCTCTTGGGGTGACTCGAACTCACAACCTCTTGGTTGGAAGTGGAGGGTGGTTACCACTAGAGCAACCCACTCTTGTCAAATGCACACCAAGACTAATACAAGTAAATTTGCCATAAATGGAAATATCACGATGTTCATTGAGCTTCTTCGTGTACAGTTTACCTTAAAAGACAAAGAAATTGCAGAATAGAGTGCTCAAAAACTTATAAGTTCTTCAGAATCTAACATGAACAAAAAGGGGGTGTACCGAGAAAGAGGAATCTGCAATAGATCTAAGAAGGCAGTCCACTGACTAAAAACAATGCTTTTGGAGCCAACGGAACGAAGACGTTCTAGTTCACCCAACAAGGCTGATACTTTTGATGACTCCACCCAATTCTTCTCAACATCAATCTGAAAGCGGCTATCTGTCGGGGCTGTTATAAGCTCCTGCTTACTGACAATGTTTCTGCAAAAGTGGAATATTTATATAAAAAAACATGCAGTTGATCTCATTGTATAGGTCGCGTTCTTCAATAAACACCTGTAGGAAAGTACCTACAAACAGGACAAAGGCCCGAGGTAGAACTTCGCCAGCTTGTCAAGAGACACTCTCGACATAACCTATGAGCACATGGAGTCAAGACTGCATCTTCAAAAGCTTCAAGACAAATAGGACATTCTCCCTGTTCTCCCTTCCGCAACTCTTCCACAACCTCCTGAATATAAGCACGTGAAGGAACATCTTTGCCTTCTCCAGTCTCCTTACCACCGTTAAGGAAACGTTTAGCAAGCTTATTTAGATCAGAGAATTCTTGGGTATCACCTCGACTGGCCAAGAAATAAACCCCATCAGCAAATATTACTTAAAAGATAATATTTAGTAACTATTAGCTATTAGATACTCCAGAGTCC